TGACTCCCGTCATCGCGCCTTGCTCGCACGCGCTCGTCGAGCCCATTACAACACCCCACTTCACTCGTGCGTCCGCCACATCGCAGCCGTCCCAAGTCTCATGTTCATAGCCTCTTCGAGCTCTCTTAGCGCGGTCTCGATGGTTGTCCCGGGCCCTCGCGTGCTTCTTCGCACGGCTCATGCGCATCTCGTCCTTGGGCTCGGATGGGTCGATGACCACATCCTCATCATTCCATCCCCCTTTGAGTTTGACCTTGTCCTTAAGGAGAATGAATTGAAGACTCTTCAATTCGAGCAACTCGGTTCCTTCATCACTTGTGCATAGCTTGATCCTCTTCTTGGCCCGTTCGAACTCCATAGTGCCTTTCTTAAAATTTGTAGTTACGGGCCCTAGTGTTTCCAACCATTGGACCCCAAGTACCACATCTGGTCCTTCGAGTTCTAGCGCGAATAAATCCTCCTTGAGCTCTTCTCCTTGTACTTGTATGGGCACCTTTTTGTATAGCTCCAAACTCCAAAGTTCTTCGCCATTTGCAACTCGTACTCCAAATGGTACAACCCCGGTCATTGGAATTTCGAGCCTTGTGGTGAAGTCCAAGTTAATAAAATTGAGAGTCGACCCACTATCGACCAACAAATTAACCTTCTGTCCCATAATCTCGGCCTCGAACTTTATCATCTTTGGCCCTCTCTCCGCCTTTACCATGTGCAACATCTCCATTTGCGGGTTCAAATGCAAGTGCCCTCCTTCCTTGCGTTCATCCTCGGGCTCGTATGTATTGAGTAGATAAACTTCTTTACCTTTGCATCGGTGCCCAGGCGTGAACGGTTCATTGCACGAGTAGCATAGACCCTTCTCGCGCCTCATTTGCATCTCATCGGGACTTAGACGCCGCATGTAATTTGGTGGTCGTGCCACCTCGGTAACCTTCGCACTCTCGACCTGCGGTGGCGGTTCAGGAACTGCGCTCGCGCGCCGTGTCTCTGTGCGTCCGTCTTCTCGGCTCATCTTGCGGACCACAACCAGGTGGTCCTCGCGCATTCGTGCCGACTCCATGGCAGCTCGCATCGACCTTGGTCAGTCCAATCGAACCTCGGCGGCTAGCTCGGGTTTGAGCCCTCCCACAAACGCACCAACCAATGCGCTCTCAGGCCAATTGCGCACGCGGCTAGCTATGTGCTCGAACTCCTTTTAGTAATCTCAGAGACTACCACTTTGACGTATACGAGTGAGTGCCTCGTCATAGTCGTGGTATTGGCTCGAACCAAATCGCGTAATGATCTCCTTCTCGAAATCCCTCCAATGTATTCTCTCGCCCTTGTCTTGGTAGACGTGCGAGATCCATTGCCACCATATGTTCGCCTCACCATCGAGATAGTATGCGGCGATCTTGACTCGTTCGGATTTGGGCACGTCATTGATTTCGAAATATTGCATTGCTCGGCTTAACCACGCGTCGTGTCGGTTCCCGTGAACGTAGGCATAGTAAGCCTCGGTCTCTCGAACTTCCTCTCCTCGCGTCCTTCTCGATCAACGGTCGTGGTCATCGCGTTCGGACTCAGAACTACTCGATCGAGCCGTGGTCGAACACGACCTATGACTTCCTCGCGGTTGTCTTGTGGCTCGAGCAAGTTATGCAGCTAGGTCGTGTACCATGATCTCGAGCTTCGCAAAATTCTCGTCGGCCGCGTGTTGGCCATCACCAAGGGATCTCATGCTCTCCTCCAACATCTCGAATCTCTCTCGGTTTGACATGACTCTCTCTTTTTTTTTTTAACACTCGACCCAAACTCACGCACACACACTATATATGTAATTCTTTTTTTTTTGATAACACTCGACCCTCACGAAAAGAAAAATGGAAAAATCGAAAAAAGAAGAAGATAGAAAAAGTTAAACAAAACACATGATCAGCACCTCTCAATGAAAACACCAATGATGAAGGATCGTGTGTTTTCCCAACTCGTTTGTCTCGAACGTTGCTTTGCGATGGCTTGTTCTCGACGATAGGTGTGGACGACTCGGTTATTAGCCTTATCCTCTCACGATTTTGAGATGGTTCGGGTCTTAGCCTTGCCAACTCGGTTTGAATGATAAAACTCTCACGAATTCTAAACACACGGTATTGTTAACGATTTTCCATTACTTTTCCATTCTATTTTTCGAATGACATTGGGTGGTATTTATAGGTGCGAAATAGATCTAATCCTAGTCTAAAAAGAACTCCTAATGCAAGTAAACAAATAATGTCCTAAGGAAAGTAAATATAGACCTACCAAAACTACTTAGGCACATGCCTTTTATTCAATGTCCTAACAAAACTATGATTCCTATTATGTTAGTGATAATCGGCCCTAGGCCTTCTAGAAGGATCGCGCGTTCCTTTGTACGGCGTGCCTTGACCAAATTCTAGCTTCATGGCTAGTCCTTGTCCTCCGAGGTCTTGGCCTTCTCCCGCGCCCCACGCGTCGCACGCGTCTCCTGCCTTCCGCCTCAAGTCTCGCGGTCCTGTCCTAGTCATTGCGGTATTCCTAGTCCCTCGAGGACTCGCGCCATCCAACTCTCACGTGCCTCGCGCGTTACCGCCCGTGCCTCACGTGAGCCCCCTCGCCCCACGTGCACGCCCATTCCTTCGCGCGTCTCGCATGTCGCGCCTCGCGCGGTTGTCGCGCACGCTCGTGTCCTCAGCATCATCCTCTCACCCGCTCGATGTCCGGCGCATCGCGTCCCGCCTATCCGCACGCGTGCTGCTCACGCCCGCTGGCCCATGCTTGTCCAGCGCCTCGCGCGTGACTCCTGTCATCGCGCCTTGCTCGCACCCGCTCGTCGAGCCCATCACAACAACCCACTTCACTCGTGCGTCTGCCTCATCGCAGCCGTCCCAAGTGTAACGGACCCGGAAAGTGGGCTGGACCTTGGCGTATTTCCCTTATATACGCCAATGGTCAAGAAACCGAGCACGTGTGCGCGGTGAGGGATAAGGGAACGAGAACATCAGCACGGGAAAGGTACCGGGCTAGCTTGGCGCGGATGCTGGGTTGCAGGGCCGAGTTGATGTAAACTGAGCATGGGATCAATTGAGTCTTTGCTGGTTGTGCATGGCCATGTAAAGATACATGGGCAATGGTGCGAGGCGGTACGGCGCCTTTGCATGCAAGGTAGACCGGGGTCGACGCTAAGGACGCGGGTTGTATTCGGCGTACGTGGATGGGCGCGCGAGTGTTGGCGCGACGTCCAAACTATTGGCGGGAACGGTTAGGAATTTGAACGAGCATGCTGGCTGCACGTGGACAAGTCGTTATGATGTCCCACGTGGTCTGGGCGCGAATTCCTTCAACGCTGCATGGCTGAATGAGTCCAAGGAGCGACGCGTGTCCATAGCGGTTATGGAGGACACGTGGAAGGCGTTGATTGATACTTCGGTATTTGACCGTTGGGTGAACGGTTCCGCACGTTAAAATCGTTTATGAACGGTTGTATAGAGTAGGCTTTGGATGGAGGCAGTTTCTTGACTGTCCAACGGTTACCTTGTCCCAGCGGTTAGGGTTTGTTAACCGCATGTTGCCTGCGGGCCTTTATATATAGGCCATGAGCTGCACACACGCGGGTACGAGCGATACCGCGTGAGTTTGTGTGCAAGCCTTGGTTCTTTTCCAACTTAGTGAAATATAGTTGGTTGGGCGTGGAGCCCGTAAATTGCGGTGCATTGTTTTATTGCTTTATGTTCATGTGGGTGATTTCTTGTTTGCTATATGCATGCTTATACACTATTCCGACTTTGTGTAATCAAGTCGTGTGTTTAGTGTGAGTGGAAAAAAGGCTGACTGGTTTAGGGGAAAACCAGGACGCATAGGGTGCTAAGGGTGCGAAAATTGTAGCCTCTTTTTAGACCCTGTGACAAGTGGTATCAGAAAACCAGAGACCACGTTGGGTTCTGACTGCTAATCGGGAAACGATGAGTGATCGACAAATGATGCTGTCCTTCGAAGCACGGATACAAAGATTGGAGGATTTGATGGGACCTCCGCTTCAGACCCCATTGCAAACGACGGTCTTCGAGAAATTACGAACAACAAACGATATTCTCGATGATCTTCGTGCAACGGTGCAAGCGTTGAGAAATTCGGTAGACTCCTTACCCGAATTTGTTGAAGGAAAGATTGACGCTGTCAATGATGAGGTAAACTTGCTGTCTGATACGGTGCGTGACAAGATTTACAAGGTTAATGACGATATAGCCTTGTTGAAGCGTGTTGGTGCCAATGTTCTCAATGAACAACGCCAAGGTCCACCAAAAGTCCGTGTACCAGATCCAAAACCGTTTGACGGATCTCGGGATGCAAAGGAAGTCAAAAATTTCCTTTGGGATATGGAAACCTATTTCCAGGCTGCCGGAGTCCCAGATGACCAGAAAGTTTCAATAGCGAGCATGTTCTTGGCTGGGGATGCAAAGCTTTGGTGGCGGGCTAGGATGTCTGATGATGCCAGTGCCAATCGCGAGGGGATCAATACGTGGGACACATTGAAGGGTTTGTTGAAGGATCAGTTTCTCCCGGGTAACACTGATTGGATTGCCCGGAACACTCTGCGTAACCTACGGCATACGAGTGCTGTACGGGATTATGTGACTGAATTTACTTCTGTCATGCTGGATATCTCTGAAATGTCGGAGAAGGATAAACTGTTCAACTTCATGGCCGGTCTTCAAGGCTGGGCCCAGGCTGAGTTGAGAAGGCAAGGTGTGAGCGACCTTCCATCGGCTATTGCTGCGGCAGAACGACTTGTTGATTTCAAAGTCATTGGCGGACCTGAGTCGGGTCATAAGAAGAAGGACTCGACAAAGGAGAAAGGGGGGAAATTCAAAAAGCATAAAGATGGTGGCAAGTACAAGAAGAAAGCGGGCGATAAGAAGGAGAACAAGTCCCGAGAGTCCAAGAACCAAACCTTGGTTGTGGACCGATCTAACCGCGGTTGCTTTTTGTGCGATGGTGACCACCGGATGCGCGACTGTCCTAAACGCTTGAATGCCAAAGCAAATGCCCTAGTGGTGCAGGGCACGTCCAAGGACACTGATGAAGGTACCATGGGCCTTAACTCTATGCTGTTGTTGAACCAAGTTCAGAAAGTCCCTGTTGCATGTGACGGCTTGATGTATACCAAGGTGGCCATAGGGAACAAAGATATCATGGCCTTGGTGGATTGCGGTGCTACCCACAGCTTTGTGAATGAGGAGTATGCCCGTAAGTTGTGCCTTGCTGTCGAGCCTCACGAGGGAAAGATGAAAACTGTTAATGCTCAAGGTGAACCAATCAAGGGTGTGGCCCAAGTCGAGATGCAAGTTGGGCCTTGGAAAGGATTGTGTGCGTTGCACATTGTCCCTCTTGATGATTTTGCAATGATTCTCGGAATGGATTTCATGAAGAAGGCGAAAGTCTTCCCAAAACCCCACGAAGGCAAGCTGTTGTTGGATATTGATGGGAGAGAGCAAGCTCTCGCTGTCAGGTTTGCTGTTCCAAAGAAAGATACTAGCATGTTGTCGGCTTTGCAAGTCCGCGATGGACTAAGACATGGCCACACAACGTACCTTGCGGCTTTGATTGAGACCAAACCAGACGTATTTCATGAAGTTCCGGATGTTGTTGGTGAATTACTTGATGAATTCAAGGATACGATGCCTCCCGAGTTGCCTAAGGAATTGCCTCCGCGTCGACCTTGTGACCATCAGATTGAACTGGAACCGGGTTCTCAACCTCCTGCACAACCTCCATATCGGATGCCACTAGCCGAGCTGGCCGAATTGAGGAAACAGTTGGACGAGTTACTTGGTGCTGGGTTGATACAACCTTCGAAAGCTCCTTATGGTTCTCCGGTCTTGTTCCAACGGAAGCAAGATGGATCGATGCGCATGTGCGTGGATTATCGGGCCTTGAATAAAGTCACCACTAAGAACAAATATCCAATTCCAAATGCCTTGGACCTGTTTGACAAGTTAGCTCAAGCAAGTGGTACACGAAAATTGATCTAAGGTCTGGGTACTGGCAGGTGCGGATTGCTCCGGGTGACGAGGTAAAGACCAACTGCGTGACAAGGTACGGGTCGTTTGAATTCTTGGTGATGCCCTTCGGGTTAACCAATGCCCCTGCTACGTTTTGTAATCTGATGAATGATGTGCTGTACGAGTACTTGGACAAGTTTGTGGTGGTATACTTGGATGATATTGTGATCTATTCTGAGACGGTTGAGGAGCATGTTAAGCACTTGCGATGCGTGCTTGAAAAGCTGAGGGAAAATCAGTTGTATGCTAAGAAGGAGAAATGCGAATTCTGTTGGGAAGAAATCACCTTCCTTGGGCACATCATCAGCCAAGGAAGTATTCGCATGGACCCTAAAAAGGTGCGGGCTGTTGTTGATTGGCCCGAGCCAACCAAAGTGACCGAGTTGCGCTCTTTCTTGGGTTTGGCTAATTACTATCGAAGATTCATAAAAGGCTACTCAAAGGTAGTCAGCCCATTGACGGACTTACTGAAGAAAGACAGGTGTTGGGAGTGGGACAAAGCTCAACAAGGTGCCTTTGATTTGCTGAAGCAAGCGGTGACCAAGGAGCCGATACTGAAGTTGGCCAAGTTCGACCAGCCGTACGAGGTACAAATCGATGCTTCAGATCCTGCCATTGGTGGGGTGTTGGTCCAGGACAAACATCCTATTGCCTTTGAAAGTCGGAAATTGAAGGATGCTGAGACCCGATACAGTACCCACAAGAAGGAAATGACGGTCGTGATCCATTGCTTGGAAATGTGGCGTCACTACCTGTTGGGAACAAGGTTCACGATTGTTATGGACAATGTAGCTAATACTTATTTTCGAACTCAGAAGAAGCTGTCCCCAAAGCAGGCAAGGTGGCAAGAATTCTTGGGGGAGTTTGACTTCGATTGGGTCCATCGGCCGGGGAAACACAATGATGTTGCCGATGCTCTGAGTCGAAAGGCTGTGGCGTCCTATGTATTGGCCTTGTATGCTGTTGAGTCCGATTTTGTTGAGAAAGTCCGTGCTGAATCCCTTAAAGATCCTGTCTATGTGAAGCTTATCGAGCAAGTGGAAACCGGTGAAGTGCACAAGTATTGGCTAGAGGACGGCTTACTCTATGCCAAAGGTCGAAGGATGTATATACCATCGAGAGGAATGAGGCGCGAGCTGCTGAGGGACTATCATGATTCCCAGTGGGCTGGTCATCCCGGTGTTGAGCGCATGTATGCTTTGATGATGAGAAAGTTCTACTGGCCGAAAATGTTGGATGACGTTGAGTCATATGTCCGGACGTGTCTTGTTTGCCAACAAGACAAGACCGAAAGGAAGAAAGAGGCGGGCCTGTTGCAACCCTTGCCTATTCCGGACAAATCATTTCAGTCGCTGTCTTTGGATTTCATTACCGGATTTCCAAAGTTAAAGGGTATGGCCTCGGTGTTGGTCATTGTGGATCGGTTCTCAAAGTATGGCATTTTCAAGAATGTAGTGAAGTACTTTGGCATGCCCGATGACATAGTGAGTGATCGCGATCCTCGCTTCACGGGACGGTTCTGGACGACCCTATTCAATTTGATGGGGACCGAGCTGAAGTTCTCTACAGCCTATCATCCTCAAACTGATGGCCAAACTGAGAGGATGAACCAGTTGCTTGAAGAGTACCTAAGGCACTATGTGACCGCAAGCCAGGATAATTGGTTGGATTTGTTGGACATGGCCCAATTCTGTTACAATCTGCACAAGTCCTCGGCGACTGGTATGAGCCCTTTTGAGCTGGTCTATGGACAACAACCTCAGTTACTGCATGATGTAGCGGTACAGTGGACCGGTGGCAAATGTCCCGCGGCATATCGATATGCTCGGGCACAACATGAGCTGTTGGTTGATGCCTGTGATAGCCTTGCTAAGGCGCAGCGACGCATGAAGAAATTTGCGGACCGTGGGCGACGGGACGTACAATTTGAAGTTGGGGAGTTTGTATTGTTGAAGCTGACCCCAAAGGTGTGGAAAAGGATCTCGGCAAAGACAGTCCATCGAGGTCTGATTCCAAAGTACGAGGGTCCCTTTGAAATTATGAGCAAAGTGGGGAACGTGGCCTATTGACTGAAGCTACCTCACCGTTTGAAGGTACATCCCACATTCCATGTATCATATTTGAAGAAGTATCATCCTGATTTGATTGAGGCGAGTCGCAACGTCTCTACTCGAGCCCCTCCGATGGTGAGGGATCATTTCACGAAAGAGATGGAGAAAATTCTGGATCACAGGACCCTTGGCCAATGTAAGAAGAATTGGCGGATAGACTATCTTGTCTAGTGGAAGGGCGAGTCCGAGTCGGATGCTACCTAGATTCGGAATACCAAGCTATGGCAATTTACGGATAAGATTGCGGAGTATGAGACAAGAAGGATGGTGAACCCCCAGTCGACGAGGGCGTCGACGAGCTTAGGCGGGGAAGTTTGTAACGGACCCGAAAAATGGGCTGGACCTTGGCGTATTTCCCTTATATGCGCCAATGTTCAAAAAACCGAGCACGTGTGCGCTGTGAGGGATAAGGGAACGAGAACATCAACACGGGAAAGGTACCGGGCTAGCTTGGCGCGGATGCTGGGTTGCAGGGCGAGTTGATGTAAACTGAGCATGGGATCAGTTGAGTCTTTGCCTGTTGTGCATGGCCATGAAAAGATACGTGGGCAATGGTGCGAGGCGGTACGGCGCCTTTGCTTGCAAGGTAGACCGGGGTCGACTCTAAGGACGCGGGTTGTATTCGACGTACGTTGATGGGCGTGCGAGTGTTGGCGCGACGTCCAAACTATTGGCGGGAACGGTTAGGAATTTGAACGAGCATGCTGGTTGCACGTGGACAAGTCGTTATGATGTCCCACGTGGCCTGGGCGCGAATTCCTTCAACGCTGCATGGCTGAATGAGTCCAAGAAGCGACGCGTGTCCATAGTGGTTATGGAGGACACGTGGAAGGCGTTGATTGATACTTCGGTATTTGACCGTTGGGTGAACGGTTCCGCAAATCGTTTATTAACGGTTGTATAGAGTAGGCTTTGGATGGAGGCAGTTTCTTAACTGCCCAACGGTTACCTTGTCCCAGCGGTTAGGGTTTGTTAACCGCATGTTGCCTGTGGGCCTTTATATATAGGCCATGAGCTGCACGCACGCGGGTACGAGTGATACCGCGTGAGTTTGTGTGCAAGCCTTGGTTCTTTTCCAACTTAGTGAAATATAGTTGGTTGGGCGTGGAGCCCGTAAATTGCGGTGCCTTGTTTTATTGCTTTATGTTCATGTGGGTGATTGCTTGTTTGCTGTATGCATGCTTATACACTATTCTGACTTTGTGTAATCAAGTCGTGTGTTTAGTGTGAGTGGAAAAACGGCTGACTGGTTTAGGGGAAAACCAGGCCGCATAGGGTGCTAAGGGTGCGAAAATTTTAGCCTCTTTTTAGACCCTGTGACACCAAGTCTCATGTTCATAGCCTCTTTAGCGCGGTCTCGATGGTTGTCCCGAGCCCTCGCGCGCTTCTTCTTATGGGTCATGCGCGTCTCGTCCTCGGGCTCGGATGGGTCGATGACCACATCCTCATCACCGTGCCGTGTCGTAGAGGCCAGACAGTGCCTCTGTCCGTGTCCGCGTCCAGCGCACGCGAGGCACCGCAGCCCCAGCGCACGCGACAGCGCCTGTCCGTGCCAGCGAGCGAGGTCTCGGCGCCAGTCGCGCCCGAGCACCTCCGACAGCGCCAGGGTTGTCCCAGCGTCAGTGCACGCGCGACCTCGAGCTAGTAGCTCGTGCCACGCAGAGTCGACCTCGGGTCGTGCCAGCAACACACCCGAGTGTTCAGTGTCGCGTCTTACTGAACCCGAGCCGTGTTCAGAGGACTCGGGACGTGCCCAACAGCACACCCGAGTGTTCAGTGTCGCGTCTTACTGAACCCGAGCCGTGTTCAGAGGACTCGGGACGTGCCCAACAGCACACCCAAGCACGCAGTTGGCCTGGGACGAGCCCAGCAGCATGCCCGCGTGCCCAGGGTCGCCCGGCAGCGCCCTGACAGCCTTAGCCATGCCGAACCGCGCGAGTAGTGCCTGGTTGCGTCAGTTCTCACACCAGCCGCACTCGGGCCGTGACCATTCGCACTCCCAGTGCCTAGTTGAGCTCGGCTGTGCCCAGTAGCACCCGAGTGGCACCCAGCCGTGCCAGGGCCGTGCCAGCAGAGTCTAGCCGCGCCTGTCTGCGCCCGACAGCGCCCAACACCTAGGCCCGGTCGCTCTCAGCTCGTGCCTAGCGTCGTGCTAGGGCCCCAGTAGGCCCGGCACCGAACCGGCCAGTCCATGCAGCCCGTGACCACCCGGTCCAGAGTGAATCGGCGGCCCGACCCGGTCTGGTTCAGCCCGACCCGGTTCAGTTAGTGAGCAAATCGACCGGTTTAACCTGCGGTTCGAGTCAGTTTTGGTTCGAGTATTTCAGTCTGAGACTTATTCTAAAATTGTAGTAATTTTTCCGAGCTAAACCAGATCAGTTGAGCCCATCAGTCTAATTTCCGGACTTAGAATTATTTTAGTGAACCCATAGAGCGTTCCTTTATATTCGGATGAGTAATCTGATAGAGTAGAGCATCTTAGCATATTGTTGAGCATATGACGAGCATAGTACTTAGTATATTTGTTTGCTGATACTTTTATGTAGCTTGAGGACTTAGCTACCAGCACAGCTGCACTTACATATTTTCAAAGTAGATCAGGTGGGGACCCAGTCTGGGTTATACATTGAGTATAATAGTCGATATCACGTTCAGGTATGTATATGAGTTTTATCCACATGGGGTTAAGGCCAAGTTTGCCTTCCCTAAGTTCTGGTGGTGGCCCAGTTCGCCATAATTATACCATCAGAGTGTGCACACGGTTACCGGCCAGAGTGTTTCGGGAGTTACCGGCCATAGTGTTCCGGGAGATTTCAGTTACTTATATATACCTGTACTGTGATATCATTATTATTATTGTTGTTTACTTTAGAATGAGTTTTTATGGAGTACAAGTGGACCGTACTCACACCCACTTTATATTTTCAGATGGCAGGGTCGACGGGTAGGTGTGAGTCCAGCTGTGGTGGTTGTGGTCCTGGAGATGGCACAGCGAGCCGTTCCAGGGACATTTGTTATCATGTTTTGTATAACTAATATTTTCACGCATTTTCAGAGTTCCGCTATGCTTGCTTTTATTTCGAACTTGCATGACAGTACTTTCAGACTTAAATAATTTATCCAGTTCGCCAGTACGAACGGGACCAGTTAAAATGCAAGATTCGATAAAAGATTTAAATCTGATTTTTTTTAAAGTCTAAACTAGTGGATAGACCTAGTTATGGAAAACGGATATCCAAAGCAAATAAGTTTTTAGCAGCATCCCGAGATAAGTTTGCAAATGATTGCGAAAAATTTATATGCGTTTTCGAACGTCGAATTTGCGAAAAATTGGCCCTAAGTAGCGGGGTGTTGCATCGTGTGCCATCATGAGCCAACGGTCCCAACCGCAACAACTCCCTCGCTCCGCCTGCGAGCCCATCCTCCACCGCGACCAACCTCTGCGAATAGGCCCAACTTCTGGTGATTCGCACGCCTGCAACTCCGGCGACCTTCTCTGCGCAACCCTCGCCGTGTACCAGCAGACCATCTCCGATGACGCCACCCTCGACCACCGCGAGCTGCTGACGCTTTCGTCGTTGCTCCTCCATGAGTAGACCCGCGGACCCCCGATGAACCGCTGCCCTAGCCGTCGCAGCGTCTTTCCCGGTGGCCCCGTCCGTCGCTGCTCCTTCTCGAGCCACCTCTCTGCTGCTGCTCCTCCGTGAGTCCACCGGCGAGCCGAGCGTGAGCCGTTGAGCCCCGTTGTGCGCCCTTGTAAACCTCCCCCATTCCGTTTTCGAGCGCCTTCCCGAGAACGGTATCGACGGCATAAAGTTCACCTTTATACGAATCGATTTATGTTGTCGTGTTGTATGTTTTTGTTTAAGCTTGAATGAATAGTTCATGTTGGTTTAAATAATGTGCGTTTGTGTCGAGATCCTTTCGGTTCGTGTGAAATCAAAAGAGATCACATTTTAAGTGTGATAAGTCGCAGTGGGAATTGGAACAATGAGTCCTTGGTCTTAAATGAAGGCCTTGGACAAATTCAAGTCTGGTCGAGTCGTGCATAAATTGTTAATCTCGTAAATTGTTGTTTTAGTATTAAATTCGTTAAAAATTGTGTATTCCTCGAATTGCCTTGAAATTTTAGGTGTCATGTCCGATGATAAATATAAGGCTTGTGTAAAATTTTCATAATTTTTCTCGGCCTGTAGCTAATTTAATTAATTAGATTGATTTTCGGTCAGATTCGTGTTAAATACATAATAAATTGTGTAGTGCTCCAAATTGGCTGAAATTCAAGTATGTTGTCTTTCTGACATGTTTACTTGTTGTGTAAAATTTTCAGAATTTTTGGATTCTGTTAGCTTAGGTAAATAATTTATTTTGTGATTCTGCCGAAAATTGTTTTAATTATGATAAATTGGTCTGATGCTGTAAAATTCTGATCTTTGGTTGAAGCGCTTGTTTTGTGATGTATTGTATGCTGTAAAAATATTAGTAATTTTTGGAGTTTATATTGATTCAGTTGTGATGAAAATTCGAAAGCTGCAGATTCTTGTCAGAATTTTTAAAATTTGCATGTTAAAGGTTTAAGGCTGAAATTTTTATATGTTGATATTCATATGTTAAGGTTTATTGTGTAAAAGTTCATAGGATAAATCATTCATTATGTCAGGTTTTAGATTTGTGCTCGTTTTTGATGCATAATTGTCTGAATTTTATTAAATCATGTATTTTGAGTTAAGAGCTGAAATTTAGTGATTTTATTAAGTCCAGTGAGGTGGATTTTTGGTTAAAATTTTAGAGCCTAACTCACTCGGTAACCTAACCAACCTGATTATGTGATTTAGCGGCAATTATTTTTTTTTTATATGTAGTCTATTTCGTTAAAATATTAGAACCGACTCGCATGTTATTCTTGTGTCCTGTTTGTCTTACCCTTTATGTGTACTTATGTGAACTCCCATGGTTACTTGGTTGAGTTTAAGTCTAAGTGTTCCAACGTCCACAGGACTTCACGAACAACTTAGTCGAATCAAGTTCGACTAAGTATGATTTGTGTTTTCCTTTTTAGGTCAAGATAGATGTTGATTGTAGCATCTTGACTTAATGTAGGTGCTTGACGAGCCGGGCTTACCGCCTATACGTGCTTTGTGTTATTTCCTACTCCGACCAGGTGGGTTTTATTTAAAATTGTCTACGCCATAAATTATTTACATTTGTTGAATGGCGTGATTAATGCATGCGTGTGAACCATGTAACCCTCGTTGTGAGCTGTATGTCCTTCGAACGGTTGTCCCCGTTGTTGAGAGTTGTATGTCTTTCGACGGTGCCTATTGATAGACAGTCTCCCTAGCCTAATGATAGGCAAGGTCGATGTGAGCTGTATGTCCTTCAATGGCTAATGTTAGATGTGCACATGAGTGAAAATGTATGATAATTGATTGATTCATGTTCATGCTGCAACCATGCCTAACTGTTTGTACATGATTTATTGCATAGTGGTGAGCACTACGATTATCCAACTGTGCTCATCCCCACCTGAAAATAACGTTTCAGGTCAAGCAAGGCAGACACGATGGCAGGATGATGAGTGGCTGGTCTTAATTATGTTTCAATTTGCATCCACTTTATTATGAATATATTGACCCGAATTTATGAACTTGAATTGTTTGGGTTTTGAACATGTTGATTTCTTTCAGACCATTTGGTTCATATTATTGAACTATGTTTAGATATTCATGATAATGTGTTATTTTGAATATCATGTGGAGTTTTATGATTTTGGGACAATGAGGTCCATGTGGAAAACCAGGTAATGAATTCCCGTGAGGTTTTAATTATGACATGAAACAAGATAATGCCTTATTAATGTTAATTTCGAGAAATGAATTTCGAAAATGAAATATGATTTTTGAATAAGCCATGGATTATTTCTTAAATCAAAGTGGGGTGCTATAAGCTCTTACCTCCTTGACATTTTTCCAAAGGGCGAGACAGCGCAATGCCCCACCAAAAAGAGTCGGGCCGAGACGATCACCTACAACCTTGGTCTGGTATGACTACCACACTTAACTTACATTCATTATTAAACAAATATTGTAAGTTAATGCCAGTCTATCCTACTGTCCCAAATAGGCCTTGGCTGGCATTGCTCCTCTCCTCGACGAGCAACTGGATGACGACGATGATTAAAGTGAAATCCCTTAAGGATACGGTGGAAAAGGGCGAAGAGCGACTCGCTGACCTCCAAGAGGCCCTCGATCTCCAGAAGGCCAAAGCGTAGAAGCTTCGAAGCAAGCTCGAGGCCAAGAATGCCGAGCTCAAAGCTAAAGACGCCGAGCTTGAGAAGGTTTGACAGCCATTTGATGAGCGCGTTGCTCAGGCTCACAGGGATGGCCAGGGATCTTTCCTTTCCTCGGATATAGGATGCAACTTCCTCGAGTGCTTCCGGACCGAGCTGCTATCGCACTACCATGACTCAAGAGAGTTCCTCAAGTGGATGAGCACGGCCTGCCGCCAGTATTTCCATGAGGGGGTCATGCGTACCAAGCCGAGGCGAAGACCCAAGGCTTCACCATCTCCGTGGATGAGGGCGCGCTAATGAAGGGCCTTCCTACCCTAGCTGGATGGAATGGCGACAAGTCTCTTCCCCCGGACCATCCTTGGTGGGATGGAGCCTTGGAGGCTGTTGCGAATACTACTGCAAAGAAATTTGGGGCAGATGTGGAGAAGTCCTACATGCAGGAGGACGACGTGCCACCCCCTTAGAGTTATATGTGATTTCCTTTTGTGTTGAAGTAGAACAATTGAACGAACTCTTATTATTTTGGCATGTAACCTCGAACTCGTTTAGTTATATGTTTTGGTATGTCCAATGAAACATGTTCTTCTTTCCTAATTTCTATGAACTGTCTTCAATCTTTGCCTGTTGGCACCATGCTCTAATGCAACATTTACATTTTGCCATTACTTTTGTCAATCGCCGCATACTTATATAACTCATCACTGAATGAGCAGCAATATCTCTCCTTTATTGACGAGCCTCATTCACCAAGTCTATAAAATACTTAGCATCGTGATAATGGGCTTTTGCACCTAGCACAATTATTGCTAAGTCTCTTAAGACTCGCCTACCCAACCTCATGCGACGGCCTTGTAAACTATAGAAGTAGTACGGTCCCTTAAAAATATTTCCGTCCTCGGAAATGCTAAACTGGAGAAATACATACAAGAGCTGAAAATATATACAACTGGGTACATATCAGAACTCAAAATCTGGAAAACAAGCTCTAACATCTGCCTCGCGCTCCCATTTGGCATCTGAATCTCCGTGGCGATTCCACCTGATACGAACGAGGGGAACGTCTCGGTTCCTGAGCCGAAGGACCTTTCGATCCAGAACCGCTACCGGCTGCTCCTCGTAAGTCAAATCTGGCTGAAGCTGAATCTCGCTGTGCTGAAGCACATGCTCGGGATCGCACACGTATGGGCGTAGCATCGAAACGTGGAACACGTTGTGCACGCCAGCCAACTCGGGAGGCAGAGCCAATCGATAGGCGACTTCGCCCACTCGCTCGAGAATCTCGAACGGGCCTATATAGCGAGGATGCAACTTCCCTCTCTTCCCGAAGCGAACGACACCTCTCATCGGTCGAACCTTCAGGAATACATGATCTCCGGGCTCAAAGTGCATCTCTCGTCTATGCTTGTCGGCTGAGGACTTTTGCCGACTCTGAGCTGTCTTGAGCCTCTCTCTGATCCAGGCTACCTTCTCAGCTGTCTCCTCGATCAACTTTGGACCGAGTACTCGTCGCTCTCCGACGTCATCCCAATACAGGGGCGATCGACACTTGCGGCCGTAAAGTGCTTCGTAGGGAGCCATCTGAATAGATGTCTGATAACTGTTGTTATAGGCGAACTCAGCTAGTGGCAGCCACTTCTCCCACTTAGCACCTCTGTCCAGAATTAAGGCTCGGAGCATATCCTCGAGCGTCTGGATCGTCTTCTCGGACTCGCCGTCCGTCTCTGGATGGTAAGCCGAACTAAACTTTAACTAGGTGCCCATTGCCTCATGCAAACTCTCCCAGAATCGACTGGTGAATCTGGGATCTCGATCGGAGATGATCGTAATGGGCACTCTGTGGAGTCGAATAACACCACGGGTATATATCTCAGCAAACTGATCCATCGTCATGGTCATCGCCACAGGCATGAAATGCGCGACTTTCGTCAGCCTGTCTACCACTACCCAAATCGCGTCGTGGTGCTCGGACGACTTAGGTAGTCCCATGACGAAGTCCATGGTAACCTCTTCCCACTTCCAACTGGGAATCTCAAGTGGCTATAGCAGACCTATGGGACTCTTGTGCTCGGCCTTTACTTGCTGACACACCAAGCACTTCTTCACGAAGTCTGCTACATCTCTCTTCATTCCTCGCCACCAGAACGACTTTTTCAGGTCGTGGTACATCTTGGTACTCCCAGGGTGGGCTAAATATGGCGCACTGTGGGCCTCAGTCAGGATTTCCTTGCATAAAGTCCCGACTTTGGCACGACAATGCGGCCTCTGAACTCCAAGGCTCCATCTGTGCCTCGATAAAAGCCCTCT